CCCTGCAGGCAGGGTGTAGCGGGGGCGTCGGCGGGGCGGGCGCAGCCGAGCCCCCGAGCGCACATGGGCGCCCCAGATGTGGCCGCGGCGCCGCAGCTGGAGCGGGAACGGCCGCCAGAGGAGCGCGGGGAGGAGGAGGAGGAGGTGGAGGAGGAGGGCGTCAGTGGCGGCCCGGAGTTACCTCCACGCTCAGCTCCCCCGCCCTCGTCGCCCCGAGCCACTCACCCGTCGAACTACCTCTCCTCCTCCCCTCGCTCCTCCGGGCCTCGGGCCGCGCCGTCCGGCTTGTCAAGTCCCTGGGCAGGCCGGTTCCAGATGGGAGGGCTCCGGGCACAAGGAGGTTGTCACTGTTTGGAGGTAGCCTACGCTCCTTTCCGAAGTCCGCGTTCTCCTAACCCTCTGTGCCAAGTGCGCGCCGCCGATGCGGAGGTCGCTGTGGGCGGCGAAGGCAGGGCCCTGGTCCTCACCAAGGCTCAGATCTGTGGGTGGGTGGGGATGCCTGAGCGAGTTTAGAAACCTTTATTGGTAAAGTGGAGCTGGAGTTCTGGTGATGGTGAAGGGAATGTGAAGCTGGAGCTCTGGTGATGGTGAAGGGAATGTCGGAGCCCTTGAGTTCCTGCTTGGAACAGGCGGGGGCTAGGGGAGAGTGACAAAGTGTCGTTCCAGAGGAGTCTTGACACTTGCTCCAGGACGCTGAATTCCTGAGCACCGCTGCTGGCGCACCCGAGGCGCCCGGTGAAGCCTGGGAAGGGAGCTTGTGGGATCCGCCAGTTCAGTCAAGCGCGCAGGTGTCTTGTGGAGAAGCTGTAGGGGCGCAGTGCCCGCAGTTTAGGCGCTCAGGCCTTAGGTGGGGCACTGGGGCGGGGGCTGGGGATGAATCTCAGCTCTGGCAGCCTCTAGTCTACGGGCTCATCCCGGGGGCGCAGCGCCGGGAGGAGAACTGGGGGCTGCCGTCGCGCATCCGCCGCTCCCGGGCCACCGCCTCATGACCGCGCTGCAGCCTCAGGCTCCCGCGCACCACACATGCCTTGCTGGAGGTAACTGGTGAGTGAAAGGGATAGGGATCGAGCTGAGGGCTCAGTATCCTCGCCTGGAATGCAAGAGCGAACTAGGTCCGGTGGTGGACTCAGGGTACCGGTGCACAGCGCACTTTCCTCCCTCCAGATCTTGCTCTGGCCCCAGCTTTCCTGAAGTGGTTCGGAGTGGCGGGCGCCTGGTAAGGCTAGGTCCTTTTATACGGCACTCCCTCCACCTCCCAACTCCTGTTTCTTCCCTCCCACCTCCCCTTCGCCAGCCCTGCCCTTCCCTCCATTTGAGCGGAGCTCTTTTCCAAGCCTCTCCTGCAACCTGGTCCCCAGTGCTCGGGGCTGGATCCTCTAAATTCTCCCTTGGTGAGTTAAATAAAAACAAAAATTACAAAAAACCTTTCTCACTGCACGTCCCCCTTTCTGCCCGCCTCCTCCTCGTTTTAGAACCTGATGTCAGATTCTTAAATCAACTACCTTCCGCTGTTCTCATCTTTACTAAGGCACTTCAGCCAAGTCGTATCCAAGTTAAGACAGGAAACACTTTCACCATTCCGAAAGCTCCTCAGGTCATCGTGGTATTTTGCTGATTTTAAATAGCAGTGATTATGGTACGGAATGTTGTTTGGATTTGTTTGGGAGAGATTTGCAGGCTCGTTTGGGAAGAAATAGCTGTTTCTTTAAAGGTGCCTTGAGCATCTTTAAAATTCAAGCCAGTCCTAGCATCTTTAAATACATTGGTGGGAGGGGTGTTTGGAGGAAATACTTGTTTAAGGTGTTTTTGCTGCCAGTTCTGGGTCCTGTAGGGCATGTTATTGCAACCTAAAGACTCTAAAATGCCAATGCTTGTCGACTAGAACTGGTGTGTGTGTGTGTGTGTGTGTGTGTGTGTGTGTGTGTGTATAGTATCTGAAACAATAAACCCTCTTCTGTTCAGATGGGAGATCAAAGAGGAGACCCCAGCAGCTCGCAACTCCCACAAGGACTCTCCTGTAAATTCTCTAATTTGATCACTTCAAAAGAAGGAGAGGACCGGGTATCAGCACAAGGGTCTTATACATAAATTAGATGGCAACATAGAGTTCAGTAGCCATTTAAGGCTGACTCTTTCCACAAGTTGTGTCAGATTGTGTTGTGGACACACAAGGCAACATAACTTCCCAATTGCCTGAGGCAGGCTGGACTAAATGGAAATCCAGGACTGTTAATGTCTTTATCATTTCACACTGTCCCCACATGTGACCTTCAGATGTGTCTCCTCTCTTCTTAAAATGAACATTATAATGTGTAAGGAAAGCTAACTAAAAACAAAACCAAAACACTCATGGCTGTAAGTTCTTATATATTTATAAATGGAGATTTAGGGATCAAAATCTTTGTAAACTGTTGCAAAAGATGTAAATTGAATTTTGAGGACAAAAGTCTTTATAAAATGTTAAACAACTGTATGAATGAATCCTGTTAAAGTCCCTGCACACTTTGGATCCAACCCGAGGTGAGTTTTTGTTGTAGTAAGCACATATACCCTGGGTGGTGCAAACAGGAAATGGTACTTGACCAAAAGTTACTCACATAAAGGTTGGTGGTTTGCATCCTCTCAAAAGTGCCTTGGAATTCTACTTCTAAAAACATCAGTCATTGAAATCCTATGGAGCACAGTTAGCATCTGACACACACAGGATTAGAATTGATATATGAGTTCTATGTGACATGTAATACACACATTGTTGTTAAGTGCTTCTGAGGCGTCACTAGGAGGCTTGAACTACTGACCTTGTGGTTCAAACTGACCTTTGGTCCTGTGCATTATCTATCCTACAGTGCGGCACAAGGACTCCATAACAAACATAATAGTCGGAATTGACCACAGCAACTGGTTAAGCACACAAAACTAATATTGATATACATCCATGCTTTGTGACTAGAGTTACCAAAGAAGATTTAGCAGTGCCTAGTCAGCTGTTGAGAAGTTAGGGAAAACAGACTTAAATATTTGTCGAAAAAAAATCTAAGTACATTTATGAAATCAGTACCAATAGCTCTTGAAGGTTTAAAAAATTCTACCTTCTTCAGAGCTCTCATGGTACTTTACATCTTTTTAACTGATCTTACTATGTATGTCCTTGAAGGAGCTCTGGTAGCCTCGTGGTTACGAGTCAGCCTGCTAACCTCAAGGTCAGCAGTTCAAAACTACCAGTGGTTCCACAGGAGAAATATGAGTCTTTCTGCTCCTGTAAAGATTTACAGCCTCAGAAAACCCCATGCAGGGTCACTATGAGTCAGAACCGACTCCATTGGTATACCATCACCACCACCAAGTCCTTGTAGAATGTGTCTGTTTGCATGTCTATCTTCCCACCAAACCTGAACCATCTTTGTGGAAGAACATTCTAGAGTTTCCCAGTATCACATATTCCTGTCATTCATGGGTTCACAGCTAGAAAACATTTTCCATCAACACTTGCATTATTCTGCTACTTCCAGAACCAGCCATAAAGCCTCCTGAATAATTGTCTACATGGACTCTTTCCTTTCTACATGAAAGGACTCTTAGGTGGAAGGAACCCAACTCTCTGAGTTGCTGCTCGAAAGAGAGCTATCAGATCAAGAATAGCTGCAATTATTTTTGCACAAGTGAACAATAAAACTTTGCTGTTCAAAGCCACCACAATGTTTAGATGTTTGCTACAGCAGCTTGTGTTACCTATCTTGACCAATGCAATTTTCAGAATAGGGATACTTGCTTGATCATCATCAGATTCCCAGAGTTGAACATAATATCTTGTATAAAATAGTTGCTCGGTTTTGTATAGCAGATGTAGCAAATATAGCTTTTATTTGTTGTCATTAGCTGCTATCCAGTCATCTCAGACTAATAATGACCTTAAGTCACGGTGTCCCCATGTACAAGTGAACACAATGTTGTTTATACTATTGTGATCTCTAGGGTTTTCAGTGTTTGATTTGGAAGCAGATTTTCAGGTCCTTATTCCTAGTCATCTTAAGGAGCTCTGGTAGCGTAGTGGTTACGAATCGGGCTGCGAACCTTAAGGTCAGCAGTTCGAAACTACCAGCCGCTCCGCGGGAGAAAGATGAGGCTTTCTACTCCCGTAAGGATTTACACCCTCGGAAACCCTGTACAGGGTCGCTATGGGTCGGAACCAACTCTACGGCACTTAACAACAACAACAACAACAATTCCTAGTCATCTTAGTCTGGAAGCTGTGCTGAAATTTGTTCTGCATCACAGCAACACACAAGCCTCCACTGACAGATGGGTAGTAGCTGCACATGAGGTACATAAGCCAGAAACTGAATCCAGGTCTCTACATAGAAAGTGAGAATTTCACCACCACACCATCAGTGTCTCATAGGCTTTATCTGGACTCTGCATAACCAACTAACTCTCTTTAAGTTGCTCCTACTGTATCTGGCTGGCATACAAATATTAACTCTTTTAACTCATGCCTGCACTATAATCTTATAGATTTTTTTTTGTCTTTTAGTGTTCGTCCATTTATATTACAAACATATTTAACTGGAGTATTTGGAGAACATAAAAGAAATCAACAAGCCAGAACATCTATGGTAGTAATGGTTATATGCTGTGGACTTAGTTCTGACTCATAATGACCCT